ATTTCTTCAGGAGCATTCTTCTCATTAATTGTTCTTTCTCCACCTAAAGACTGGGACCAGACATTTAGTGAAGATACTTTTAAAGCATTATTTTATTATGAATTATAATAGGCCAATTAATAATGATAGAATCACTACTGAGCATTACATTGATGTAACATAAAGAAAAAAACAAACAAACAAACAAAATGCAGTTGTACCAAAAACATTTTGACTGGTGAGTTCCATGAAATAATACTTCGCAATTTATTGTTCTTCAGGATTTCAGGGTCAGATAATTTTAGGAAATAGATATATACAAATATTTGTAGTTTTGCAATGTATACTCTGAAATCCTACAATAAAAATCTATTTCATTTAGACCTGGCCAGTGTGGCTCACTGGATTGAGTGCTGGTCTGCGAACCAAAGGGTCACCAGTTTGATTCCCAGTCAGGGCACATGTCTGGGTTGCGAGCCAGGTCCTCAGTTGGGGGGCTGCAAGAGGCAATCGCACATTAAAGTTTCTCTCCCTCTCTTTCTCTCTCTCTATAAATAAAATCTTTTAAAAAATCTATTTTGTTTACCCTGGCATCTCCTAAATATGTTTAACTCAAAACCATTTTTTTCCAACAAATGAGACCTGCCGAATATTTACAAAATGCTGCATTTGAGCACTAGTAGTTGGTAAAACTGTTGTGTACAGATAAATATTGAGAAATTGAGTACATAAAGACTAAGGAACTTGCAGTTATTATACATACTCTGGTAATGAAATGAACCAGTCATATTTTTAAGAATTGCATTTAAACCAGAATTTGATTTAGAAATCTACTGTTACTCTGTAACCATTATGTGTCTCGGAGTGGGGTGGTGTAATAATAGAAACGAGATGATACACATACACAGAGCCTATTTAGTACTGAAGCAGAATCTGTTTTCTGGATGAGAATTTCATGTCTGCCAAGTATAGTGTATATCGCATATAAAATAGGTATTATATTTATTTTAGATCTGAGTAACACTATTCTTAGAAAAGCAATTTGTTCAAAGATATAGAATCGAGTGCCCCTCATTCTTTCTCAACTGACTAGTAAAATAGACTTTGAACTTTGAGCTCCTTAAAAGCAGGCTCAATGTGTTTTCAGTGTTTCCTCAAATGCCTGTTATTCCCCCTTATTTAAATGAAAAGGGACAGGCTAATTTCTTATTTGATTTAGTATAACATGGTTAAAAAGAATAAAATGGACTTCAGACTGAGAGATTTGGGGTTCAAAACTCACTATCTCTATGACTGTGAATCTGAATTTAAATTGTAAACTGAGCACAAAAATTTTAATTCACCATATTATTGGGAATTTTAAATGAAATAATATAACATGCCAGGCCAATAGCAGGCAATCAGGAACTGCTGATCTTTAATATTTCAGAATACTAAGCATATGATGTTTATCTCTGTGACACAAAATATAGACTGATACTTACTGTGACCATTATTCAAAGAACAGTGGCATGTTATAGCACAGATCTCCAAACTCTCTTTGGGAGCAGAGGTTTAATGATGACTGAGTGACCTCCTCCCCAGTTGGCGATGAGAAGTAACATCAGGCAGTGAATATAAGATTACATTTGATTATACCTCATTATTGGCCAGCTTTAAGGACAAACAGTAAATTCTTAATTTAACTTCCTACCTTCCTGAAATGAACAATTAGCCGTGCATCACAGCAGTTCTCTGAAAACATAGTTTAGAAAAAGACCTCACATTTTATTTCCAATGTGTGTAAAGGAGTATAGTAGGGTGTGAGGAAAATGAGGAAATATGTATTAGGAGTTCAGCAGTTGGAAACACTGTCCCAAAAGCAAAATTTTGATACTGCCATATAATAAGAGTGACTACATCACTTATTGTTTACTGACACTTTTTATTGAGATTTGTAGCTCATGATTTTACATGTGATTGTACAGAGCATTAAAGGGGGAAAAAGGTTGGAAAGATTGTACAAGGGAAAAAAATCCAGTAGATTGAAATCTGTAGGTGTATAAGATTAATGCCATGTGTAAATATATGAGAATACTAAGAGACCAAAGCCTGCAATAGCTATGTTCTTGTTCCTAAAAAGTTATTTTTCTTATCAATGAGAAATAGCTTAATTAGTTATTAGTGTTTAAAATAAACTACAATTTTTTTTAAAAAAAGATACATTATCTTGAATTAGATTTAATGATTGGTGAGTGGGAAAACAGTATGAAAATCTTTTCCAAATTACTTTTCTACTTTCCCACGCATTCACAGAAGCCAAAAGAAGAGAAATCAAGCTCTTTCTACAGTTCTGCACAATTTGATTTTTTAGTTTGTAGGCAGAGATTGGTGTTAGAATATACAAAGAGGACTTGTTTCCAAAGGAACACGGTCTGATTATCCACAGCTCTGCTCTAAGACACATCATCCTTTATTAGTTAGGATGGGAAAGGAAATCTTTATTCTCAAGTGAGGCATGACAACCAACTTTAAATGTTTTTCTTCATCTTTCTTAATTCATAATGGCATTCGAACATAAGACATTGTGACAACTTGAAATTCAAGGCATTAAAAAAATGCTCCAGAGGACAAGACCGTGGTCAGCATAAGAGGACACTCTTCTCTAGGCATCACAAATGAGTTGATGACATTCATGAATATTGCCAAACATTTTTAGAGGTCAGTGGTATGCTTCATTTTGAAGCCAGGATCATTTTGCCAGTTTTACCTTGAGAAGAATCAGAGGAATTCTTAAACTTTCAAAAGCCGCTTTAGGTATGAATTTTAAATATATTTTCTTGCCAATGGAGTGTGAAACTCTGCAGTCTTGGGCTGTTGAAACAAACTTTATACCTTTAAAATTTAAAGGTCTCTGATATTAGACTAATTATAAATCTTTATTGACCTCTCCCTTAGATCACAGAGTAAAATATTCTAATTTTTAAAATTATTTGTTCTGAGTGACAATGTTGATATAAATTAAATCCTTAAGAGTTGGCTTTACTCTCGTCTTTCAAGTTCTTTCCTTGTATATTCTAGAATGAAGATAATTGGGAATACTTTTAGATACGTTTGGATTATGGAGTACTCTGATAGCACATCACGTGTACAACTGTCTGCAGAATTTTATCAATTGACTACAACAATTGAATAGACAGGACTTGAGAGTAATATTTTCAGAAGTGTAATTATTTGTTCAGCTTCAAAGTAATATTCACATATGTAATGAGTTACCTGGTAATATGAATATTGTTTGGCTATTAGCTTTTTTGCACAATGTACATAATTCCAAGTTAATATTAATGTTTATTAGAAAGATTCGTAATAAAGCTCTAAAAGGTACAAAGCTACAAGTAGTATTAACCGTGTTGGCATACAATAGAGTAAGCAGATTAGAGAGTGAAAGTGAATTGAGGCAAAGATACTTATATTTAAGTCATATTTATAGAATATTTGTTTCCTTGAGAGAAAGTGTAGCTAGACAAGAAATATTTAGTGTTAAAAGTGCTTAGAGTTTGCTGTTGAGTCAGCAGGATAAAATTATTATATGGTAAATTCCAATTTTTTTTCAGCGCACCAATAGAATTTCATACCATGTTTAAGATTTTTACCACTCTGAATTATTTCATTATTTCTTTCCTGGAACTTTTTTATCTGAAACTCTAACTTAGGAGCTGCTACCTCACTGTAAACTTGCCAACTTGATTTCACCCTCCTTCTGTCCATATTGTGACTGAAAAGACTTGGTTATCACAATAGGGGTGGTTTTTTTTTTTTTTATTTTTGTATAGTCTTCCTTGTATCTGCATATAAATCAGAGCTCTTTTTCATGACTTCTTAATAAGCATACTTTGCATTTATCCTTGAAATACTCTAATGGGGCATTTAAATGAGAAAAATCTGCGTGACATAATATTAAGAGAAAGAAACATCAAAAACATAGTTGAAATGAAGACACTTGAATAATAACTTAAAGGTCTTAAATGTTAAAGAAGTGCAGACTTTTAATTATTTTTTAAAAAAGAGCAAACAGCGATAACTTTATTTCAAATGACAATATGCAAAACCATAGTAGCTACCTGTTTTATTGCAAAATCATAAAGTTCATGATATGTAAATAAGCTATTTCCTCTGCTTGCTATAAGTAAAAGGAAACAGAGTAGGTGGATGTGTGTATAGTTGAAAGTTAAAGATCGACTTCTCTTTAAAAGCAAAGAGGAAGTAATCAGGTTAATTAGCAAATAGAAAAGATTCCTCTTATGGCCTAAGCAGGAAAGAAGCAGCTATCAACACTTTTTAATTTCTACTAGCCTAAACAAAATTTAGATATTTAACAATATTTTTCAGATGGTTTAAGAAGACATAATTGCTGATTACAAAATTAAATTTATAGCTGGGATCCATCAAATCTATTTTATGAGCTCAAAGAGGCTTCTCATGCAGAATTCATTTGCACAAAAATGCTTCCATAAGCGATTTTGTGATGCTGCTGCTTCACTCTTGTGCTTCCATGTTCCTGACTAATTTATAGAGGTGTAGAAATCTAACATATATTTAAAATTTTAGGAATGCATAGTAATTGTTTGTGTTTTAAGTTATAATTATGACTTATTAAACATGAACTACTTAAATTTAATACCTTGGTACTACTATAATATTCTGGAAAGATCATACATATGGTTATTTTGTCTCAAGTATTTTTGTTAAAGGAAGGACATTAGGTCAATAGTTCCAGAATCTCTCAAAATCAAATTAGGGTTGGGTTCTTTTTCTCGCTCTGAAGTTGAATTGACATGCATAGTAAGTTCATAGTGTTTTATTTTATTTTTCTCCCCAAAACATCCCTAGCAGTAGCACTTTGGTACAATAATGATGGGCATCTTCTAGAAACTGATTATTCTCTTACTAACAGGAGATGATTATTGATTAATTTGAAATTGATATTTAGACAACCCAGAAAATATTTTCCCCTCCCTTTTGGAATATAATAATGCAGAAAGTCAATCTTTAAAGTTTTTAATATCGTATTTTAAAGTGAGCAAACCAGTCAAAAGGTTTGAACATATGTGGGGAAAAGGCCCAAAATCATTGCCCAAAATTAAGTCTATGGGTTTGTTATAAATATTACTAATTTATATATATGCTTATCTCCATTATTATGAAAAGTCTCATCACATCCATTAATATTAAAAAATAAAAAAACACTAAATTTTAAAAAATGTTCAATATGTCAACATTTTTAGATTACTAGGTCTTTAAAAATACAGGTCATAAAATATATTTTAATTTAGCATCAACGTGAATGGTTTTTTTTTAACAGGAAGTTAAGAGTATTTTCATTACTTGCATTTGATTAATTTTACTGATTATATTTACTTCAATATAATTATTCTTACGCCAGAATTTTGGCATTATCATTATTTTAGTATAACAATTTATTGTTCTACTATAGTGTTTTAAACTTTAATAATGTGGAAACAAAGAGAGATGATAAAAAATGTAATTGGATTTCCAACCACTTTCTCCTTCACAAAATTTAGATTTCTCTATAAATATTATCAATTAGGAACATGAGCTGTGCAATATTTCAACAGTTTTTGAATCAACTAAACATGCAGTCAGTCCGTGCCCTGATAAATTTTCATGTGAAATAGACCTTAGAGAGAAAAAAATTCAAGTGTAAAATGTTATAAAAACATTATTTCACTAAGAAGTAATAATTGGTTTGTTTCATTGACATCAGTTTTACAGCTCTCAGATAATGTGTATATCTGTTTATGCAAATTTACTTCTTAATGGAAAATCAGATACACACATTAGAAATACGCAGATGAGGTCATGAACATCACAGGGTATTAAAAATAAGAGTCAACCAAATGTAGTAATAATAACAAGACATCTTTCAAAATTATGAATTTATCAATAGTTACATATGAAAATGCATGTAAAAAAAGATTCAAGTTCAGGAATTCAACCCTTGCTAGTGCAAAGAGGACTGAATGAATATATTATAGATATACACAAATTTCTGTTGAAATGGATATAGTTAACTCCTTTATCCACTGTTTGTTTTCCTTATCGTTGCCTAAAACTTGGGGGAACAATCTTTTCTTGTGAAAGCCTTGGGATCTTAAGTCTCTCAGAAAGCACACCAGTTATAATGTATGAGAGTTCCAAAACCTTACCCTTTCATTTTAAGGTCTTGGTTGTAACTGACAGTACTGAAAGGCCTTCTGCACCAGTGTATGTGTTCAAGAGATTTTTCTACTTGGTCTATGGAGAGCTGGGGAGGCTACCTGCTTCAAATTTCCATATAATGAAACAAAAAAGATAGTGGGCATGGAGGTAGCAATATCAGAAAATCAGAATTGGCAGCATCAGCAAACTGAATTGAGGTAGTTTCCTCACTGAGCTGTGAAACTAGCTTTTTTACTGACAGAGATTACTGCTGGACTGGCAAAACAAGCTTAGGTACTCAACACCCACAGACCGCACTGCTGTTTTCTGAAGTTATCTTCAGTATGTCTAAAAAGGGTTCTTTCATTGCCAAATGGATTCTCTGTTCCAGACAAGCTAACCATCTTTCAGGTGCTAATATTGCCATAGTGTGGCATGAGAAATCTAATATCTGCTAAAGTTTGTGGTTCTCCTAAACTTTACATTTTAAAGAAAATCTGTAGACAAAAAATACTCATGTCAAGGGATGAAAAAATAATGATGCATCAGGTATTTTGAGTTGACAATAAGGTTGTGATGCACTCTGACCCAGCACAAAATGTTGTCTTTTGTTATGTATTTTAAACTATATATATAATTGGCTAGTCTCTAAACTACTCCTTCCCATCTTAATTTAAGAAATTAACTTATAGGTGGATGGTGTTTAGATTTCTGAGGAATGTAAAAGAAAAAGAAAAGGAAATCACCAAGATATTACATACTGCAAGAGAAATTATAACTTGGCAAATTCGTTCTAGCTTTGCCCTAGGCGAGGCTCCATGCTTGGACACTGCTGATAAATGATCTTCAGTAATGAGATCTAGAACGTTTATCTGAAAGGGAGGACATTTTTCTTTCAATTTTCTCCTTATATGTACATTAAAAAAATAGCATTAAAATGCCATACTATCTTTATAAAATGGATATTCTCTTTGTTCTTTTTCTTACAACATTTTGCCAATTGTGTGAATTTCAATTTCTAACATGAAAATGGAGTTTACAAGGGAGGAAAAAGTATGATCTACCTCCACTCCCCCCAATTTAATACTTAAATCTCTGATTGAAAGTGGTTTTTATAATAAGCACATGGAGACTGTATCTGGTTTATAAATAAGCACATGATAACCTATAAATTAACCTGCTCATAAGTAAATTATGGATCTTATTTCAGCCAACATAAACATGCCCATCCCATTTTTTCTGGTTCAGTCTGTCTACAAAAACTGTATAATTTTGTGCTTAGGTTATTCATTTAAGCAGATTGATTTCTTTTTCATGCCTCATTTGGGCCATAGAAGATTAAGTAAATTTATATACTGAAAACAGAAGGAAAGAAAGGTTGAGAAAAATAAAAAGAATAATTAATCATATAGTACATACATCAATACAATGTCTACTAAATCTCAATCAGTTGTTTATTGGTTGGCAAACAAGTTTCACTTTTACAACAAATATTAGTAATGAGGTCATCCAACTCTGAGACCATACAAAATGGATCATAAATTTAAAAAAAATTATATGTGCTGCTAATTTACCTCTTGTATTCCTACATTACTTAAAATCCTGTCAAATAAATAAATTTTCCTGTTAATAAACAGAAGAGGTTTTTCCCCCCAAAAATCACTTCAAAATAACTTGACCTTGATTCTTACTACACGGGAGTGAATTTCCTTTAAAAAGTGGTAGTGCAGGTACCCACTTGGGTTCAGACTGAACATTCAGCACTTTAATGCCTATAGGATACCATTTTTTTTTTCACATGCAGAGCCCCACTAGTTCTATTGACACCTCTTGACTTCTAGAACCATAGCTACCATCTTGGTGGATGAATTGCTTGCCGAATAACTTCCATTACAACAGATGTGCACTGTAAACATAAAAGTTCGTCCTGCTCTAATTTGCAAAAATGCTCTTGGAAATATTCTGACTGAATAAAGATATATAGTGAGGGAAGTAAATCTAATTTTATTTATTTTATTTTTTGTAAAAAATAATTTGTTTGCATTACTAGAAAATGATTCTTATAAAGTGATAGTTTTATTTATTTATTTATTTATCATTTATTTATTTATTTATTTACTTATTTTTTGCCAGGTGACATTTTAAAGAAATAAGCAAAAAATAAAAAAATAAAAAGAAAGGAAAAGTGAAGAAAGAAAGAAATCAAAAAAAAGGAGAAAACTTTGCTCTCTTACTGGTAGACAAACTTGCAAGACCAGCACAAAAGAAAAAAAATTTCTCTCTTTTTTTTTTTTTTTGCACTACATTAACAGGACTCAAATTCTGGAGGAACAGAAAGCAGACTATATGTGCAATGCTAGTATCTGTACATTACATAGAAATTGTTCATTTTTTTTCTGCCATTAGTTTTATCATCAGTTAATACAGCAAATCATTAAATATGCATTTAGCATATCATCCTAGAATTCCCTTCCATTTTGTTATTAATTTTGTTGTTTTATTTTGTAGACCACAGCTATTACCACTGTGATGAATTCAGGTTGAAAGTGACTAAAAACCACTATGTGATACAGTTTTGCTTTGCTTTTATGTTTGTTTGTGCAGCACTCCAATCTAGATGCAGCATTGTTACTATTTTCCAACAACTCTTCTGGCCTTTTAAAAATCAGGTCCTTGTAATTATAGTAACAGAGCATCAGAGATGTTAGAACAAACACAACATAATTCAACAAGGCCACAATGAGCGCCATTTTCTTCATATCTCGTTCATTAACATAATGAAGTCTCCATCTGAGGGGGGAAAGGACAGGAAAGGATAGGGTGCAGGGGAATTTCAGCAGTTATCTTTCTCCCCTGGGCTGACCTAAAAATCCCAGTTGAAAAAAAAAAAAAAAGAAGTCTGAGAGTTTGTGTTTGTCATTCAAGAACAGCATAAAGATTTAGGAGTACACATATTATTACCACTGCTTATAGCAACTCAGAACAGTCAACCAGGTGTTAGCAGTTTTGTCGATTTACATTTCTCTTTCATCTTCTATAGACTTGTGACCAAATGAGCAGGTCCTTTTGAACTTCCCTCTGGAGGGGTTCCATCTTTGTTTGGAGGAACTATAAATCCATCGCTGCTACCGCGACCTAGCTGGTAGTAGGTGTGCAGCTGATGGATGTGGTTTCTGGAGCCTAGGTTTGGCATGCTTTTGTAGTAAACATCTTCGGCATCACCACATTTGGCCGGTGGGGGTTCGGTCTGGGTGCTGGTGGTAACACTCTCTGCGGCAGGCACACCAGCCAGTGCCGGCATGCTAGTGTAGCGAGAGTCCCTATGGGGTGACTGGAGATCTTCTGTGTGCTCGTTGGTTAGCAAAGGAAAAAAACTTTCACTGTGGTCTTGGGGGATCCGCCTTCTGGTGTAATGGTGTGGCTGGTGGTTCTCTGTGGAGTAAATTCTTGGGGGCAGTAAGGGAGCATCAGATTCCTCATGAATGAGTTCCAGACCCAAACTCTCCTCGTGGCTAAAGGAAGTGGCATCATCCAGGACAATGGTATCATCTTCACTCCCACTGCCGAGGTTATTCACCAGCTTGTTCATCAGATTCCTATTCTGTTCGCAGGAGCGCTCGTGGTTGTTCAGGTAGGAAGGTATATAGTTGGAAGTGAGTTCCTTCAGAATCTTTTTTTCTAAGGCGGTCTCGTTATGGTTATAGCCTCGGTCTATGATTTGCACACAGTTGCTCAGGTATTCGCCGCTGGCAATGCTGTAACTATTGCCATGGTTACCATTCAGTGGTAGAGTATCCATGACACTTGTATCCCTGGCATTGTTCAGAAGCCCCTCTGAAAAAAAAATGACAAAACACTATGACATTTATATCCAAGTGGCCATAGAACACACACAAACACAAAATCAAAAACAGATGACTGGGAAGCATGTATAAATTGCTAGCATTTTAAATTAAGTATAAAATGTTTGGAACTAAAAAAACACTATTATATCTAATGTACATATCTATCTGTATTTTTGGAAAATTGACAGAAATCTTATAAATGGAAAAGATGGATTTAAAATACATCTTAAAAACTATGAATTGGCAATTTACACACAAATACTGCTTAAAATTATTTAAAATCTATTTCATTAGAACTTAGAAAAAATAATGCAAAATTTTGGTGTGATCACTCATAGCTTTCAATTTATACACATCAAAGTCAATGTAATAATGAATTACCTTTGATTTAACATGTTGTTTTAACATTGAAATAGATATAATAGTAACATAATTTTTGTGTGGTACTTTAAATATACTGGTCAAAGTGAAAGAATCAAGTGGTTTCTAATAATTTGATATATAATTTTATAATACTAAAAATAATCCCTACATAGAAAACCACAAAAGGATTACGATTAATTTGTTAGAATGATGTAGTCATAAAATAATGTTTAGTCAAATATGGCACATCAAAATAATTTGCACATAGGAATTTGCAAAACAAAAATATTTGTCATTACTTTCTACTTTTTTCTCCTGCTACAAGCACTTTGATTGCTATTTTATATTAACCCATTAGTAATTACTTAGGGTCATTAGGAGTATTATCTAATGACCCTAAGTAATGTGTAAAGAATGTGTAAAGACACAGAATTTGATTTCTAAAAACATAGTGTTTCCATTTCAAAATGAGCGATGATTTTGTGTATATGTTAAACTTTGGGTCTAAAAAGAGATTAAACATTGTATTCTGGGAAGGAACAGCTGTAGTGAAACAAATTTGAACACATGCTTATTCACGTTTTTTTGCATTCTTTTAAAGGAACAGAAAGCCAAGAATCTATAATAATTCCATAACTCACTGCAAATGCAACCACAAAAGAAAATCAAACAAACATTCAATTAACTAGTGGTAAATAAGCAAAGGTATTTCTTTACAAAATAATTAATTGAAGAATTCTGTTAAACCTCAAAATACTGCTATCTTGTGAAAATATAGCATTCATTCTATGTCTGTGATGCAATGATGTTTATCCAAACTGAATAGTTCACTGCTGGTTTAAATAAAGTTTCCCAAATATGTAAATTTTTACATAGGCTTCTGATGAATACTCTGTATTCAAATCACAGTTTTCAAAAACAACAATGCATAAAATACATTAAAAGGAAGCCATCACAGACATAGGGTGAAGCAATTTATTTTCATGTTATAAGATATCTTGTAGACAAATCCACAATGTTCAGAAAAAAAAGTAAATGCTTTTTAAAGGGCCGTATGTGATGGGTGATTGCTGCTGCAGAGTATGCTTGATGGTTATGGTTGAGCGACTAATGCATTGAAACATTTTTATCATTTCTGTTGTCAATGCATTAGGCACAGGTTGAAGACAGCCATAGTAAAAATAAAGTGGGTATGTTGCATATGACATACATTTGTATGATTAAATGTACCAAGAAAAATTAAAAGTTTGTGAATTAGCAAAAAATAAACGCTTAATTTAAAAACAATTTAACTCACACAAACATTACATGAGACTTAACAACTATGTTGATTATGTGACACAGTAAAAGAATCAGACAACAAAAGCGTCTAATCTCTATTAACATGTTAATATAAGTCGGTTTATAGGTTCTTTAGTTTTTAAATTGTGAGATGAACTGTTTTTAATAACTACATCATCTATATGTGATGCAATAAAAGTGAACTAAAAAAAATTACATTTGATATGCAATGTTTAGCTTTACTCCCATACTTGTCTCTCTGTAGGGCTCTAAACGACAGCATGAAGAAAAAGAAAGAAAAAACAACAAGTAAGCTTACAGCGACAGTAGAAGGAACATGAGTAAAAAGCAAATTGATGATATGCAGAAAAAAGAGTCAAAGGAATAATTTCCACTGTCCCAAAATTTGTGAGTCTGTGTTACATGGTTTATCATAATTAAAAATACTGAAATGTTAGTCAGAAAATAAGAACCCCCCCTTAATACATGCTAATAAAATGAATCTTTAATAGCATTCCTGCAGTTTATAAATTTCAAACAAATACACATTTTTTAAAGATTATCACACCAACCAAAGAGAGTAAAAATTTGAGGGCAAATCATGACTACTTCACAACTATATTTTAACATTTATATATATATATATATATATATATATATATATATATATATATATATATATATATATGTGTGTGTGTGTGTGTGTGTGTGTGTGTGTGCATGTGCATGTTAGAAAAATGCCTGCTTCTAAGAAATGCCATTAAGTTGAAAAATTTTTAGTAAAAATTATAGTTTTAGCTTATATACAGACAGAAAACTATAGTTGAAGGTTTTCATAATTTTTCCCGTATGTATCTTCTCTTTCCATTTACAAAGATTATTTTCCTCCTACTGTACTTATACAAATGTTTCTTTTCATTTGTGAATAATACTGATCAATACTGTCACTTCCGGAGCTCACATTCAAAAGTTGTTTAACTATGAAGAAAAAAAAAGGTTAAATCCAATCATTATTCTGTATCAAGAAAATGTGAGGAGGGGAAACATACCACCATCAATATTGATTTCTTCTGAGTAGTTGCACGATCATATGCAATCAAACTTTTCTGAGCTGATTTACTAAAAACAGTCCTAGCAAAATTATTTTTTAAACCCTATATTTTAATCAGGTCAAAAGAATTGCTCTTGCTGATTTTGTTTACAGGAAGGTAAAATCATTCATTTCCCCTCAAGAAAATCCCCAAAACTCCAGCAAATTCATTGGGCTAGATCATTTCAAGAGATTCTGACTTGTTACGATTTAACCACTGCTTTAGAAATAAGGTGTTTGTACTTCAAATGTTTATTTGCTTCTTAGCATAAGGCTAACTATATTTCAAAATGTAGAGGAATTTCTTTATATTTTCAAAATAGCTTTAGAAAGAGAACTAGAAATCAAAAGCCAAACAATAAAGCACAGAGGAAAATCATTTGCAGATTCATTATGGCTCCCTCCTTAAAAGACAGAATTTTAGAACTAAAAAGCACATGAGAAATAAAAAGTTCAATTCCTGCTTTTCAGAGATGAGAAAACTGCAACCAAGAGCATCTAAGCCTTATCTAGCACCCTGTGAATAATGGCAGAAGTGGGGTCAGAAAGGGGATCTTCTGGGTTTGCTCTGGGTACTATCTTTCTTTTCACATCTGCCTTAGGCTTTGAATATTTATTTATGTATTTTATATAAATATAATATAACCTTGTATTCTTATAAACTATAATGTGTAATATATTCTTCACTCTGTTCCATCATAAGGATATGTGTCTAAAGTTTTAGAATTGAATTAAATTACTTTAAAATATAAATTATTTTATGAAATCTTGACTTCCTCCTTTTATCATGTTTTGTGAACAAGTTTATCTATAATGAAACTGATCTTACAAAAATTGAATTGTCCAATTTTTGCAGAAGATAATGGCCCAGAAATACTATGCATGAAGTTTTAAATATTTCTACAATCTAAATCCAGTATGATAAAAGTATACTATTTATCTTTAATCCTAACTCAGTAAGCTTCAGTAACACTATAAACACAGCTTTACATATTTTAAATAAAGGCACTACAAATAAAAATGGATACTTTAAATCTGAATGCTTCTCTGCTTGATGGCATTGGTGCAACTGAATCAGAGTACCCACTGAACAGAACCAAGTGGTGATTCAATATAAACCACTCCAGTACGTACCGAGCCACCTATATTTCATGTAAGATTTCACCTTGCCAGTAAGAATATAAGTGCATTCATCTGAAAATATAAGGTTAGTAGCAATATGACAATCACCAAGATTTATTTTTGGGTCAGTGTTGAAAAGAATTATTTTAAGCACTACCATAGTTTAACATCTTAAAAATATTAAAACATCACATAGCTGAACCATTGCATTTCTGAGTCTGAAAAACAATAATGAAATTGTTTACTATTTTATATTTAAGAAATTCAGTAGAATTTATTTAATTTACTGGCATAAATTACAAATCCATTCAGAAGAATCCTTTGTGTATTAAATGATAGTCTTAATAGCAATGTCCAGTAATAGTTCCATAGAAATAAAACTTAAGTCTGTTATTATTTTAAATTTTGCATCATGAAAATTTTAATTTGAGAGTGTTTATAAGTGTTCCAACCTTAGAAAAATCTACTAATTTAGAATATCAATAAAAATAAGACAAGAAGGTAGATACTGAATTAGAAAAAAACATATAAAATGGTAGTTGTTAATTTTTTATTGTATAGACACTAAAATTATATCAGAATAAGCAAAAAAGTTGACGAAAATGTGATCTAAATTGATTACTTGTTTTAAAACAATTTCCAACAACTTTTTGCATGATACTGTACAATAGTTTCAATTTGCAGATATGCTGTAAATCTTTGTTTAATATCTCTCAAAACTTACTATGCCAGCATACTTTGAAATGTTTATGATGATGCAAGTAATTCTGTCTCATACCATTTTTTTAAAAAGTCCATTATAAGGTCTGCTAAACTGTTCTGTCAAACCATGTCAGGTGCATTGTGTAATGTACAGTTCATTGAAGGACACAGTGAAATAGGGACATTGACAAATGAAAGAAAATTTAGGGGAGGGGTGACCATGAAGAAGGACCTAGAAACTATGTCGTATGGATGCTACTGAGGTTATGTTGTTAGGGAAATGGAGGGCTGAAAAGAAGACAGGTTAGCTGCTTTCAAGTATTTCAAGGATGGCCACAAAGAGCATAATTCTTTGTTCTTTGCTCTAGAAGGCAAATCTTAAGTGTCATGGCCAGAGGCAAATTTCAGCTCAGTGGAAGGAAAAAATAGATATGCAACAAATGGAGCATTTCAACAGCTGAATACAGGTGACCCTTGAACAACCTGGGTTTGCATTGCATGGGTCCGCTAATACATGGGTTTTCTCAATAAATCCTGTAAATGTATTTTCCCTTCCTTATGATTTTCTTAACACTTTCCTCTAAGTTTATTGTGACTACATTATATAATACATATAACACACAAAGTGTTAATAGATTGCAAATGTAATTGATAATGCTTCTAGTCAATAGCAGACTATCAGTAGTAAAGTTTTGGGCGAGTCAAAAGCCATATATGAAGGTTGGGCGCTCCTCTCCCCTGATGTTCAAGAGTCAACTATATATGAAGTTCTGAGCTGGAAAGGGTACCATTAGAGAAAATATTTTAGCACAGGCTGACAGAATTCCAGCAATGTAAAAAAGACCCACTGAGCTCTGTTCCTTCTTCTGATTCTAAAACTTTGATTCCTGCACTTGTGGGCCTTAAGAAAGCTGATCAAATTTAAAGTTGGCTTAATTATGCTATCCTATTAACAAATGTCTGTTCTCCTGAAGTTACTTCTGAACTACTGACTTTGGTATTTAGAAATAATTTAAAATCATCCTTTGTATTTGGCAAGGTGTCAAGTGGAAGCTCAGATTGTTTTAGACAGTCAATGGCCACATTGAAAGAAACATGCTTTTCCAGAATAAGGATTCACACCAGATTTTATGATCTCATGTCCCTAATCTTTTACCTTTCACTGAGAAAGAAAAACAAACAAAAAATTCCTTCAGAGATTCTCACAGAGGGTAATAGAAATTTATTCAAAACTGTCTGGAAATGTAAAATACTTCTAACCTATCACATCCAAATAGAAGGAATCTTGGAAGTCTCTATATAGCTTTAAATAAGTAGAACAGTGACCAGAATTATTCTTTAAAAAATTTTTATTTGAATATTTTTTCCTGTGCTCTCTTTACATATGGTATACATATTTTCAATATCTTGTCTTCAATATTGTAAATCGTTTAAAGAGATTTATTTATGCTTATTTGTTTCATAGACAATTAAATTTTATATCACTTAAAACCAGAGGATATAGAGTAACCATATTCAAAAGCATTGTTCTTCACACATAGACACAATAGAAAACAGGTTTTTGTAACCTTCCTGAACCAGCTCACATGGGCAATGGAAAGCTGGGGTAGAGCCTGATCTGCTACGTCCAGTTCACTTGTCTTTGCTCCATGTTTCAGATCAATGCAATGTTCCCTGGAGTCAATATAAATGATTTCATCAGTACTGGTGTTTTGTGCTTAGAATTTGCTTCATTGTATAATAGTTCAATTATTTACTTGATCTTATTAAGACTAGTGGGTCAAGTGTTATCATACTTACCTTAGGTAAATATCTCATTTCTCAAAATAAATGCATAGGTATTTATTATAGAAATCAATCAACAACAAGAAAAGTATTGACAAGTCACAACACATTTTATAACATTACAAAGAAACAAACGCATATTGATGAAACGAGCATTTGTTTACCAGAAGGAAGGAATCCATTTCTTGGAAATGGAAATGGAAAGCCTAAGGAAAATGGAAAATAAAAGCACCAAGAGTGGTAGAAAGTGAAAGAAATCTGTGTGTCTGCTTCCAAAAGAAAGAAAAGGAAGGAGGAAGGAAAGAAAAATAGAATGTGGCCATAAAAGCTACATAAAATGGGACTCTCACTTGAAAAAATCAAGATAAACTCCAGCACACCTTGTGCGTTGTACATGCTGACAGAAGGGTTGTTACAGACCGCCGGTTCCCCAAGCAATGTATTATAGGGATTGTTAGTACCATGCGGACGAAGCAGAGCATTGCTTATAAGATGATTAGCCATGGCTCCTGGAGCAGCCCCATAGAAAGACAGAGAAAAAAAAGGTCAATCAGGCAAATGTGTTTGAAAAAAAGGAAGGAAACATTTAGAATGACAACAGTTGATATAGCCCTGATTACAGGCAGGCAGCTAATTAGACTAAAAAATATAGGCTGCTAAAGCACACATGTTTCCAACAATGCACATATCTGCGTCGATGGGAAAGAAATAAAATGATTTACAATGTTGATTAAGCCACATTTAGGGTGTTCTCTTTTCCAAAGTATAAGCAAGAGTATATTCCCATGCTTGCTAAAAATAAAAATTTAAAAAAGCAAAGTAGAGTCTTTCATAGAAACCAAAGAGAAAGCACAAAATAAAAGTTGAAAAAAGTTAAAAATAAAGAAAAGCTAAAATTAAATAAAACATAACCTCATTTACAGAAACCATTGGGCTGTTTTCAATAAAAGTAAAAAAAAACATAAACAGCAATGTTTACGATCAAACACTCATTTGGAGAGCAGTTGTTGACACGACAGAAGATTTTGACATTTTTAAAAATTGTATGAGGAATAATTATTTAAATTAAAATAAAATAAAATATAATCACTCTCATTAGTACACCATAGTAAGTATACTAATTAAGTGGGTATACAAATCTCATAAAATGATCATATGGATATTATTTTAAAATATTTAAAATAAAATATTAACTTCATGGTATCAAGCAAATATACATAATTCTATTTTCCATTTTCCCACTGGTTGTTTGGACTTTGGCAGACCAAAGTTACAAAGTTAGATTATTTCATCTCTTGTGAACAGATATTCTTATTTTCTAACATACCATCAGTATGAGTTGCAACCTCCCACCCTTGAAAGCCACTTAATCAAAAAGCAAAAAAAAAATCAGAGGAGCAGTTTTATTAAAAATAATTAGGGCAGTCATGGAAATGATAGAATGTGTTAATGTTAGATGGTGAAGAAAGAAAAATGACTGAGAAAAAGAAAACACATTGTATAGAAACAGGGTGAACATACTAGCATATGCTAATTTAAAGAAAACAATGGAAGTACAATCTATAAATGAGGTGAAAATATTTGCAAATAATAAATATTTGCAATCCAACAAAGAGTTAGTATCTGGAATATAGAAAGAACTCTCAAAGTCAACAATAAAAAATCAACAAACAAAACACATACAAAAAAAAATTCAGTTAGAAATTGAGCAAAGGCATAAATAGGCACTTCATGGAAGAGCATATAAAGATGGCAAACAAGCTCATGAAAAGAATTTCTATTAGCCATTAGGGAAAAACAGATTGAAATCACAATGAGACATCCTTACATAATTAAAATAAAAATGGTGATAATATCAAGCAAATGCTGGCAAGGATGAAGAGAGATTGGATCACTCAGATTTTGCTGGAGGAAATGTAAAACAGTATAGCTACTTTGCAAAATATTTTAGCAGTTTCTTATAACACTGAAAGTACAATACCATACCACCCCCCAATTGTACACTTGGATTTTCATCTGAGAAACAGAAATTAATGTTTACACAAAGACCTGCAGATGGATGTTCATGGCAGATTTATTTGTAAGAGCACATATGGGAAACAGCCAAGATGTCCTTTAACTGATGAATGGTTAAACAGTCAGTGATGCATTCATACCATGGAACACTACTCAGTAATAAAAAGTAAACATTGAGGCATATAATAGCTGGATGAATTTGTAGAGAATTATACTGAATAAAAGAGATAATACCAAAGGTTATATACTGTATGGTTCAGTTATTCAGTATGTATGTATGTTTATACATACATACATATACACACATATACATATATACACATACACATATATATATTCTGAAAATGACAAGATTATAGAAACAAAGTATATGTTAGTGATTGCAGGAGGTTAGAGATGGAAGGGGGAAGTAAAGGGGTATGGTCATAAAAGGGCAGCATGAGGCATCCTTGTGGTGATTGGAACTACTCTGGATCTTGATTTTGGTGGCATACAAGGTCTGTCTGGAAAAAGTCCAGCCATTGTTAATATACTGAAAACAGTTTGTGTGACATCGATGTAACCTGGCAGCCAAGAAGAGTGGACTGGAATGAGCATGCCTGAACAATGACAACTTCACTGTACTTTTCAGTGGGGGCACTAGACACTGTTGAGTGCCCACATATACTGTGTGGCCATCATATTCAAAATGACTGAGCAAGTAGAGCAATGAACCTGCATCAGATTTTGTGTTAAGCTTGAACATTCTTCCACAGAAACGATCTGGATGATTCGGAAGGCTGCAGCTATGAAGCTGGTGATTGGCAGCTTCATCATGACAACACTCATGCATCATGTCTCATGCAGAGTTTTTCGGTGAAACATAGAGTCACTCAGATGGCTCAGCCCCCCTACAGCCCAGATTTGGTGCCCTGCAACTTCTGACTTTTTCCAAAATTAAAATCACCTTTGAGAGGGAAGAGATTTTGGAATATCAGTGAGATTCAGGAAAATATGTCAGGGTAGCTGATGGCAAGTGGAACTGTTTGAGGTCCCAGGGTACCTACTTTGAAGGGGACTGAGGCATCGTTGTTCTATGTACAATGTTTTTTGTATCATCTTCAATAAATGTCTCTTTTCATATTACATGACTGGATACCTTCTGGACAGACTTCGTATATTACAAAAATGTACTCTTGCAATAGAATTAAACATACACACAAATACAGATAAATATAAAAAAAAAACTGAAGAAATCTGAATCAGATTGGAGGGTTATAGTAATGTTAATATCTGGGTTGTAATATTGTAGTATAGTTTTATAAGATATTTTTTAGGGAAACCCAGTAAAAGGTAGATGATCTTTGCATTATTTCATATGACTGCCAGTGAATCCACAATGATCTCAAAGGAAAATGTAATTGATATTGAATAAATCAATAAATATTTAATCACTTGTAGAGTATGTTAAACAAATGAGAAGAAAAAAATTTGGCCTGGGAGTAATAAAGTGTTGAAATCATAGCTCTTTGCTATATGGTAAATTCTCAGCCAAATAACAAATATTTTAACCTCCAACCTGTGTAGTTAACACCTCTTCATTTAAAGGACAATATAGCTTGTCAGATATTTAGAACTGGGAAGTTTCAGTTTGTTCAGGAAAAAAGAAAACGTGTTTTCATCTTATACATCTGACAAGAATGAGCATAGAACTAGAATCGACATTTTCAATATGTGCTGATGACTGTTGGCTGATATTGTACAGTACTTTTATACATTGCAAAGGAAGATCATCAATTTATCATGTAATGGATATAACAGGATATTATTTCCCATTAGCAAATTAAATATATAAAAATTAATAAGAAAAGCTAAAAAATAGTTGGCTATAGTGCCTTTCACTTAAGAAATGGAATATTATAAATCTTAAACATGTATATTGAAAATTCAGATTAATTGTTAGATATAGGATTTGGTCTGCACAAAATTTTTAAAAAGCAAATTATGTATAAGTTATACCTGCTACTACATATTTATTAGTCTAGTCTATTTTTCAAGTAAAAAGGAAAGTTATTTTCTTTTTTAAAATATTTTATTTGTTATTTTCTAATACAAATCATTACTTTCTAAAATTAAGCATTTTAATAGAAAATGAAGTAACAATAGAAGATAGAAGTAACAATATGAACTAGGGGAAACCTTAAAAATATAAAATAGTTCATATTCTTTACAATCTGTCACAGATCTAAAGAAGGGGTAAAATCTTTGTGGCTGGGATTTGTATCCACATCTCTATATATTTCTCTTCATTACTACACATTATTTCATTGGAACTAATTGGAAAACAAACAGTAGGCTGAGAAGATTGCAGGCTACTTTCCCCCTTTGCTTTATACAGTTTAAAAATAAAAAATTCCTTTGTTTTATATACATTTTTCTCATGCTGATGTAAAGGAAGGTGATCTGCTTAAGTGTTCTCATTACAAGAAACTTTGTAACTACATATGGTGACAGGTGTTTACCATACTCATTGGTGTGACCATCTTGCAAATTAAATATGGAATCATAATTTTGCACTCCTATAACTAATATAATGTCATTATATCAATTGTACTTCAATAAAAATAAATAAAGTATAAAGACATTTTAAAAAGATGATAATCTGTGCTTTAGAATAAGGAAAGCATTCAGTTGTGATGAACCAAGCAAAAGCAAGAAGCTGGTGACTTAATACTTTGGTTTTTGTTTATCATTCGATTTATAAAAATCTAAGAATAGCAGAACAACAACAACAGAAAAATATAATCACACCAAAATGGAATAATAAAATCATAGTGAAGCTATCAACATTTTCCTAGAGAACCCAGCTGGTTATATTTTTTCCAGCATAAAATTCATTTTCAGATTTTTCTAACTTTAAAAAAAGTCCAGGGATGTACTTTAAAGTACTTTTATCTGTGAAACTATTAATGTAGGAAGACAGTTTTTTTCCAAACATGATCTGAAGATGTTTTATTCAAGTGACCTTCCTATTTTGTAGAACCATAGGAAGATGGAGTTGTAAAATTCATTGTATTTATGACCAGTCCCTGGTAAGGCGGAAAGGCCAGCAACAACAGCAGAAACACTATGGGCACACAACTGAGCTATGACACAACGTTGACAGAACGGGACAATATTCAGTCTCGGCAACATGGCTTCTGATGTGTGCTTCCTCAGATCTAGGTACTACCCAGAATCAGTTAATTAAGTGAAAATTTAGTGAAACCTTGTGCTCTTTATCCTTGATATTGAGGACCTTTTTCTAGTAGAAAAATAATCATACTTTCTTTTAACTATCACTCACTATTATATACCATGCACTATTTGAAACCAATGCAATCAAGGTTACTGAACTAACTTTAGTCCTGAATATGGAGGGTTATAATTCAAGTGAGGGCTCAGTAACAGGAAATCCAAAGTAGAATGTTAAGTTTGGTGATTATTGCTTTGCGAGGGGTATAGTTATGGAAAA